CACAGACACACAGACAGACACACACACACACACAGACTCACTCACACACAGACACAGACTCACTCACACAGACACACACAGACACAGACTCACTCACACACACAGACACAGAGAGACACACACACAGAGAGACACACACAGTGGTCAGACTAGAGCAGGGTCAGTTCAGCGGTCATGATGTTTGTGGATCAGATGATCATTAGATGTGATAAAACACTCACCGTTTGAGATGTCGTCTCCTGGACTCCTGAACACCAGAGAAACAAACAAGATAATCACTTAGAAATAAATCACACACACGTTTGTTTGACTACATCAATGAGCTCATCTCACACACCGGCAGTATTTTGTTTATCAGGTTAACGATATTTCCTTTTCTGTCTCCTAACCCCAAATTAACCCTCACAGAAACCGGTTCAAAACACTAGATATACATTGATGCATTAGGAAGATGCTTTCATCCAAAGCAAACACTTAAGGTATTTCATCAGTTCATGCATTCCCTGGGAATCGAACCCCATGACCACAAGTTACAGCAATGTTCAATCATGAAAACACAATCACTTTATTTGTGGTCAAAACATTCCACACACATACACACAGACACACACAGACACTCACAGTTTGCTGGACTGAGCTGATTTCCCCTGAGAACGAAAGACAGACAGAGTTACGGCGCGTGTGTGAATGTCGTTTCTCGTGAACACTCTGCTTGTGTGTTGTTGTGTGTTTGACTGACCAGCAGCAGATCCTCATAACACGAGACGTCCTCCAACGACACGCGCGTCCTCTCCTGCTTACCGAGTGCTGAAACACACACACACACACACACACACACACACAGATAAAAGAGACAGACGCATGCTTTAACATGACTAAATCAAGAGAAAGGTGTGTGTAATTGCATCCAGCCGCCAGCAGGTGGCGTTTGTGCTCAGGATGAATGTCGTTTACACTCACTGGACTCTGGATGCAGGAACGAAGGGTTTCTGTCGAACTCTGTGAAACCGGCGTACGAGTTCACCGTCCGCATGTGACCCTGCGCCACAGCCGCCTGCAGACACATAAAACACATCCGGATCGAGCCGCACTGGACACAATCACCACATCTTTAACATACTACACTCACCACATCCCGAGTCTTTCTGGAGGGACTCGACTGGCGGCTGCTGACAGCACCCTCTTTAGGAAACGACCTCTGACCCTCAGGATCATCCTTGTAACCTGAAACGGGAAAATTAGTTCAAAGACCGAACCACGCTCGTTTAGGCACATTCATCAGTTCATTACAGCCACCGTGTTAAATGTTTCCCCTCCGATCAGCTTTAATAACCCGTCACTAACCAAAACCCTAACCAGCACCAGCCGGGTTAGTTTAGTTGACTGCGATCACACACACACACACACACACACACAAAAGACACGACAGCACTTTGTTCATTTAGTAAGAAGAGAGCGGTTGAGATGAAACCACTGCCAGAGGTCACCTGTCTCACCCGCTCTAACACACACAGGGGCATGCAGACAGGGTGAGGGTCAAAGGTCACGGTTAGGGTGGGGTTCCCTGATTCCCAGCCAAACCTCCGCTTCTCTGTGTGAGTCTGTTCAGCGCACGTCTGAAGCGACCGTCTCTCCGGATGCGCCGGGGGCCCCGGGGCTGGTGCTCAGGGGCCAGAGGGAGGCCCGGGAGGGGTGTGTTTCTGTCGGGCGGGTCGGGGGCGGGTCTATCGTCTTCATCATCAGTGAAGGCGTGATTGACGTATCCCTCACATACAACCGCCCCTGGGGGGCCTCCATCACTTGTCCCATAAACACCCTCCTCATACTCACCCACGAAGGCCCCGAACTCCACTGCGACATGCGCCGGCTCCGTGTGCGTCTGTGAGATGGTGAGCTGCGACGGTGTGCTGACGAAGAACGTGGCGAGGCTGCTAGGACCCGTGTCCTGGAGCACGGAGCGTCCGCGGCGCCGCAGCTGCGGTGAGTGTCTGAGCGACTGAGGTAAGGTGCAGCCGGAGGATCCAGCCTCGGCCGTGAACAGAGGGCGTGTCTCGGGGCTCGGAGGAAGCTCCGCTCCATGCCGCTCCTCGGCTCCGCCTCCAGCTCCGCCCCCGAACAGAGACTCTGCTATGCTGGCGGCGGGAGGCAGGAATCCCACGCTGCACCGCACCAGAGCACTCGAGTGCCCCGTCACGTCGGGCCCCAGGTTCTTGGAGATGCTGAGCTCGCGTGTGATCTGGTTGTGCACTTTGCTAGCCTCGGACGCTCGCTGCGCTGTCAGCGCCTTTAGCGTGTCCACCGTGAGCGCCGAGAGATCCTGCAGGTGTCCGATTTGAGAATCCAGCGTGTGCAGAGAGCGCTTGATGAAGTTCACCTTGTTTCCGACCTCCTTCAGCTGCACACACATCGTTTCCACCCTAAAAAACAAACACAGGTAAACACAATCAATTCTCATTTATTTATATAGCGCTTTTCACAATGCATACCGTTTCAAAGCAGCTTTACAGAAGATAATCACAGTTCCAGAGGCTTTATTTCACATTTATGCATTTGGTAGACACTTTCATCCAAATGAGACTAACGTTGCATTCAAGGTACACGTCAGTGCTTGGTGTTGCTAGCACCATGCGCTACAGTTTGAGCTACACATTCACATTAATGCATTTGGCAGATTAATGATTAATGCACCATGGCTTCACGGGGCTTATTGCTTTTATAAAACGGTTATTCCATATACGTAGTAAGGTTTCACAAAATAAAACAGAGCAAATAAAGTGTAATGATATTAATAAAAACAGTATTCTTCCACCAAACAATGTAGCTCCTCAGAAACAGTTGTGGTTGCAACAAAGTGGTTGCCGAGCAACACACAAACGTAAACAAAGGTGTATGTTACTTTGTAGAGTCATTTACAGCATCTTCGAACGCGGCTCAGCCAATCAGAACCAAGCACCGGAACTATCTGTTTTTAACATTTACATTAATGCATTTGGGAGACGCTTTTATCCAAATGAGACTAACGTTCATTCAAGGTTTTTCAGTTCATGCGTTCCCTGGGAATCGAACCTGTGACCTTAGCGTTGCTAGCACCATGATCTACTGTTTGAGCTCAAGGAACGTTCGGTTTAACATTTACATTAAAGTGTTCTGCAGATGCTTTTATCCAAAGCGACCTGCGCTGCATTTAAAGCATACGGTTTTTCAGTTCATGCGTTCCCTGGGAATCGAACCTGTGACGTACTGTTTGGGGATCTGTAATGTTTGATTTCATGTAAACACGCTCATGGATCAAGCGATCCCTCAGATGTCAACAAAAAGAATGTAGTAAAAGTCGTTAAAACGTGCACCAGCTAAAGGTGAGTGAACTGAGCAAATCTACCAGCCATGAATGCGTCTGATTGGCCGTAAGTGTTTCACTATGACAACATGTGACCCTGCAGCACAAAAGCAGTGTTAAGTCGCTGGGGGATATTTGTAGCAATAGCCAACAATACATTGTATGGCAAATATTGTCCTATCCTAACAAACCATACATCAATGGAAAGCTTATTTATTGCATACATCTCAATTTTGAAAAATTGACCCTCATGACTGGTTTTGTGCTCCAGGGTCACAAATGAGGTCACAGAGAGACTCATTTCATTGATGATGCTGAAAGAGAAAAGAGTCTGACAGTAAAAGAAAAACACGTGATAGATGTTTTCCCCAGTAAATTATCTGTAAATCTCACTCTCAGATCTCAATATTTTATTAAATGCAGGCTTTTTGTGTGTGTTGTGGACCCTGATGCATGAGAATGCCGTTCATCATCGTACCTGTCGGACGTGAGTCTGATTCTCTCCTCACTCCCAGAGTGAAACTGATCGTCTTTCTCGTGGAAGTACGTCTCCACGCACTGCTCCTCGAAGTCGTGCAGCTTCTTCTGGTCCTCCTCAGTCAGGAAGAGCTCTGAAAAACAGCAGGACAGTCAGAGCGCTGACAGACGCGAGCAGAAGCACACACACACACACACACACACACACACACACACAGACTCTCTCTCTCACACACACTCATACACACTCACAGACTCTCTCTCACACACACACACACACACACACACACTCTCTCTCACACACTCACACACACACACTCTCTCTCACACACACTCACACACACACACAGACTCGCTCTCTCACACACACTCACACACACTCACACACTCACACACACACAGACTCTCTCTCACACACTCACACACACTCACACACACAGACACAGACTCTCTCTCACACACATTCACACACACACACAGACTCTCTCTCACACACTCACACACACTCACACACACAGACACAGACTCTCTCTCACACACATTCACACACACACACAGACTCTCTCTCACACACTCACACACACTCACACACACAGACACAGACTCTCTCTCACACACATTCACACACACACACAGACTCTCTCTCACACACTCACACACACTCACACACACAGACACAGACTCTCTCTCACACACATTCACACACACACACAGACTCTCTCTCACACACATTCACACACACACACAGACTCTCTCTCACACACACACACACATACCCAGACTCTCTCTCACACACACAGACTCGCTCTCTCACACACACTCACACACACAGACACAGACTCTCTCTCACACACATTCACACACACACACAGACTCGCTCTCTCACACACACTCACACACACTCACACACTCACACACACAC